AAGATCAAGCTATGAGAGATGAAAAATATTCACCTTATAAACAAGGATCACATAGATACCTCTCTCCATACAGGTAATATATTAGGAAAGATCGCAGAATTGCATTTCTCACATAGAGTGAATGGTAAATATTCATGATGGTTTCTGATGATGATGCTAACAATAGTAATGGTAGTGCATGGTAAATAGTGGTAGGTCAGTTGTGTTTCTGATTCACGAATGATTATGTTTATGATCATGGTTATTTTTGATGAGCAAAATGATAATGATTTTTATGACATTTCAGAATGCGTAGAGGTGTTCATTATAGTCGGCAAAGAACCTACAGTCAGGGAAGTGACACTGACGAGCATGTCATAGTGGAAAGTTCAATGTATGATCTTGAGGATGAAGGTGTACAGGGACCTTTCCCACCAATGCCTGTAAGTATGATTCAAACATCAAATATTAGAGAGAGTAGCATACATATCGATGTCTACATCTGTATGCTGTGCACATAAAAATGTGAATTCTTTCTTTAGGTTCATGTTCATCAGAGTGGACCAGTGGAGGGGAAATCTGGAGGATGCTGGGGTAAACTACGCAGAAGAGGTCGAACCTCTCCCTCTCTAAACCATCCTAGGAATCTGGTTCATGATCACTATGCTGACCAGTTTGTCCAAGGCTGTGGTGAGCTTCAAACATTATTAATTCTTTCTTTCTTTTGCTGCATTCTCCCAATGGGGACAAGCATATTATTAATTAATTATTTTATACTAATTGATTATACCAAAGTCTCAAAGACATGGGGAACAGCAGTGGCAATGGCTTCTTCTGCTGTTTCCCTTTGTTTCTTTTATTTTTCCTTAAGTTACTTTTAGGATATTTCTCTGTTTTTCAATATTATACTTTTCAAGTGCAGAGACTGTCCATTAATATGCGCTATACAAATACATAGTCATTACCAGGTCACTACAGTTCTTATCATTGCCACATGGCAGGAGAATGAAAATTGACGGTGGCTGTAATTCATAGCTACCTTAATGTAAAACTATTTTTAAATCATAGAAGGATATTTTAGTGATTAAAGTGTTTTCCTTTTTATAGACATGCAGGTCGATGATGAAATTTATGAAGAACAAGGTCAGTGGATGAGACGTCAAAATCATTCTTTTAACTATTTTATTCTGAAACTC